TTACTTAAAGGCACCCCAGGCATTAGACCACTGAGAGTAACACGTACGGTGGGTAGGATAGGGCAGTTTGCGAAGGTTACGATGTGCCGTTAACACGGCTCTAAAGTGGGCCACAAGGGCGCGGGGCCTTGCCAATGCTTTCGACAAGTGGTCATGGAGTGGTGCCCTATCCCCCACTATGCAACGGCCGTGTGTCTGTGCCCTCTCGTACTGTGTGCTATTTCGCATATTCTTTCTTCTCTGCATACCGTCTCCCTGTCACACTACGGTAGCCCTTACAAGAAAATCTACTGCGCACTTCCAGTATTCTCTTTGTTTTCATCGGCTTTCTTTGTCACTTTCAGTCCACTCCGCACCTCCACTTTCACCAATGAGCACGCTTACACAGCAATTTTATCTAGGAACGTGCCTTTAAGGCTTCGTCGAATTCAAAGCGATTGACGTACTCTTTGTCCGTCGACTGTGCAAACCGACACTCCCCACAGATGAGGTGATTGCCGAGCTAACTGAGGTATATAACTGGCCACAGTACCGTCACGAATTTCGAGGCACTGAAAATAAACTATTTAACTACTTACTGATATTCAAGTCTCATGCATTCATATAATTTTCCTTTCAGGAACCCTAGCCAGCAGGAAAATCTTTGAAAAACTCACTTCATCATAGATCCTGCGGATTTCATCTGCAAATGCACCCCATGAAGGAATAACGAGATCATTTTGTAACGCCTGCACGATCAAGCTCACACTGCAGGCAACACAACTGAAATCACACACGTGAGTTTAAACAGTGGGAGTGGCATGCTAGAAGTGGGCGGAGATTGCAGAAATTGGGAGTGGTCTCTACTGTGATGTCATAATAAGCGCTTTGTTGAGAACGGTAGCTATTCTGCACTATTTATGTGAAAGCGCATCAGTGCCGGTGAAAAACGTTGAAGTCGGTTACTCTGTTCAACAGTATGCCTACCATATCCATTAGGGTCAGAGACGCAGAAAATCGCAACCACTCTGCTTCTCTGTGGTTCTTCCAACTTTTTCAGAGACAATCTACTCATGACTCTTGTGCATTTCTTTTTATGACCTTCACGGGTGGCATAAAATCTACGCCGGTGCCATGAAAGCGCTGTGCTACAGTAACAACAAGGATCACTTGATGCAACCATTACACCTCTACCAAAAACTGTCTGTCTTAAGGGTACTAAAAAGTACAATCTTGTTTTACGAAAACATTGATACGTCCTGTAAATGATCGATATCTATCTAATACATGACATACTCTATAAATTGTTCCTTGTTCAGTTTCCAGTGTTTCGGTTCAAGCACTTCATTCATCTTCTCCTCTTCCTGTTTTTCGATTTGTTTCAATTTTCGCATCATCGGTTTGAGCCGTGGATCATCCATACGAAGACCAAACGCTTTAAGCACCTTGAATGGCAGTTTATTTGGCTTTTTCTGAATGGGACCAACATGCGGTGCGGTTGCAAATGATTTATCCGGATCTATTCCAGTTAGGGGGGGGGTGCATCATGATGCAGTTTCCCGGTGAACGCGAATATTCCAGCTTTTCACGCATGTCAAGTGACTGCCCTCACCCCCAACCCTCCCCCGGGGCTGGCCTCACTAGCCCCCCTGGCCATGGTTCGCGTCTATATCGATGCTACTTTCGAAAATTTTTCCGATCGCTCCCCAGGGATTTGAACGACCTCTTTCTCCTTTTCCTCATCACCATCTCATTTCCATCAAAACCCCAGCCACATTCCTTCATATTTTCCCGCTTTTCAACCATTTTTTCCTATACTCCCACATATCTTCCTTTTCACTTAGGGTGGCGTATACTACGCGCGCAAATTTTCTCTCGCGCCGCTCCCCACTCATCACATGCAACTTCTTACAACCGAAGCAAGTACGACCCCCCCCCCTCTACAAACTCATCAAAATACGACCCCCGTTGCTACTTGTAGCAACATAGGGTTGACCCTGCCCTGCCCTCGAGCTACTTTAGCGTTCTGAAAAACGCATCGGCGGATGACCCTAGCTGCCAATAGACGCTTCCTTTATTCCTTCGTCCAAGAAAAGACGGTAGTGAGTGTGGGTGTGGCTCAGAATTAACACGAACTAGCCGACCATAAACGGGGCGCTAAAGAAAAAAACTTGTCTAAAAACCTATCAACCTGCGCATGACAAACTAACCGTGAGCAATCGTCCAATTGAGGCCTCGTTTTTACCGGGGATTTTGAACAGTTCAAATATGGTGTCTTCTTGTCCTTTTGTGGAGTCCTTCTCATAGGGATTAGCCAGGCCATCCAGTTTTTGCCTGAGAGTCGTCGTCGACAATGGACGTTCCAACATTCCACTCAGGTTCTCTACTGGAATAAAACCGATCGTCCAATATATTTTCAATAAATCAATGAAAGTTCTTGTGGTCCACAAATTATGTGGAACGTTTCAAATTATAAGTAGCAATAAACTGAGAACAAAAATATACTTCTGCTGGATTTGGAGAGCGCCATTCCCGTGTCCGCAAATATAATAAATAAACAAATAAATAAATACTTAAATAAACAAACAATATTGTGCTTACACGTTCGTTGCGATGGTACTTTCTGCATAATTGCCGTCCTAGGTAGACATACAGTCAAGGATTCAATCTTGAACTAAATTGCAATTATTTAGATCCGCACGACGAGACTTATTTCACGCTAAAAAAGCCCTTACAAGTGTACATGAAAGTGGATATTGATTGAGGCGCGTAAAATCAATACCTATTTAAAAACCAGTTCCGAAGGATGTGCTGAGTAGAAGCGTTGCAGTTAATTGACGATGCACACAAAACCGTGATGCAGGATAGCAGGACCTAGTATTCTAGAAAAATCATGCACATATTTGGGAGAGCATGGAAACAAAGATTGGCGCAATGTGGCTCGGAGGGGCCAGTCGCCGCGCGCGATCTCTGCGTTTTTCTGTGTAAGCATTTCCTCTTCGCTAAATCGGGACTAAGCCTCGGGCAGGGAGGAGGAACTCCAGGATCATAGCAATTTTCATCTTCCCAAAGTTCCTGCCCACTCCTAGGCTTAGTACTACAGGGCGCGGACGAGCAGAGATCGCGCGCGGCGACTGGCCCCCTCCGAGCCACATTGCGGCCAAGATTTCAAGAAGAAATAGAATTACGATCGGTAAAAATTAAGGTACATGAGATTTTGTGAGAGGTAAGAGAGGTGCTGTATTGAGCACTGAAGCAGGTAAGCCTGGGCCCAGCCATGGGCTGAATGACAGTAAAAAAAGGGTTTGGCGTTGGCGGGATTTAACAGCCAGTGTTTTTGGTAGTGTGTAG